TGGCTGGTGATTCACCCTTTTCTGGAAGGCTTGGAATAATATTTGGAAGATAAATAGTCTTACCTTTTTTTTCCCTGGGGAAAAAAAAAATGTCAGCAGATGGGAGCTTCTCCATCCTGTCCCAAGGACTTTCCTCCCATATGACTCAGATGTATCCTTGAGCTTCCATACTGGGGCAGGTAACTGCTTCTCCCTTAGTGATACCAGGGCTTTTAGGAAGGATTTGCATGTGGCTCTGTCTCCTCTCTGTCTGCCAAGCCTGAAGGACTTTAAACGATGTAATGAGGGTGCTGTTGACAGGTCTTGGAGGTGAGGAAAGATGTGGACCACAGCACAGAATTCAAACCCATAGATAGCCAGACTTCAGACCCCTCAGTGCCCTGTTTTGTTGTGTGTTGATTGTTTAAAAATAACAGGGTTCATCTGTGCCCTAGAATGGTGTAGCTTGGAAGGAGGTGGTGGTTGGGTGGGTGGCAGTAGARGTTCATTTAAAGCAGGGCTGTTGCTGAGTGTCCAATAGCCTGAAACTGAATTAAAACAAATTTGGGACTACACCGTCTCTGAAAGGATGAGTGCTCCTTCTTGTTCCCAGTTCCCAGTCCCGCTGCTTCCTTTGCATAGTATCTAGCAATTATAAGGTGAGTCAGATCAGTCCTGATCTGTCTGAAAGACCAACTCATCAAAAATGAGCTGTGATCTCTAGAATGGAGAGAAGGGAGAGGACCGAGGAAGGGGTGGGACCGCCTCTTTAGGTGGCAGGGTACAATTAGATTATTTTCATGACTAGCTTAAGCAATCCCCAGCAGGCACTTCCCTCYCCCAGCCGTAGCAAGATTGACTTGTGTATGGGCCATTCCCATTCAGGCCATTCTCCTGTTACATCTGAGACCAGGATGGTCCTTTTGGGGCTGGGAATCCCCCAGCTGTAAGCACCTGGGGCCTGGGAAGGTCCTCAGGGGATGCATCTCTCTATGCTTCTCCTGTTCTCTGGGATTTTTTCGTTGCAATTCCTCCAAAAATGTTGTCAGACTGGGTTGGTGTTGAAGTGGACATAGTGAGCACCCAGTCACCTCCCAGTTCTAGAAGTCCAGGCAATAGAAAGTCCTCAAGCTGAGACTTAAATCAGCTGCTGGTAAGAACAGGTCTATCATCAGAACCATCCCGGTATCAGAATTTGGAGTATTTGGGTTTTGCATGAACTGAAGATCTGGTGGTGTTTTGGATGAACATGGGACCTAGTCAAAGCTAATCACTTCTCCTACAGGTTTTACCTGTAACACATATGTGCTGGAGCCACTGGTCTGCCTCCTGGAATGGCATATTGCATGTCCTTTCTCTGTCCCCCTTCTTGTGATAGGAACTTGGCTGCTGCCTGCCTTRCTCCTCCCTGGGAACTTGATTCAGCAGAAGCCTTTGCTGCAGTTGTTATCAGAGTTCAGGTGACAACATTTACAATGGACCAAAGGGAGGAGGTCACCACTGGTCACCTGTTCTGGGCAGCACTTTTGGGAACAGCTGTGTTCCAGAGAGAGCACTGTAATGAAATGTATGCTGATCAAGTTAGRTTGAAAGGAAAGGGAGCTGTTATTAGTTGTACACCTTTTGCTGAGCTATTCTACCAACTTTGCTGGGTTTAAAATTGGTTGGTTTTGAAAGTACTGCCTGGCAGTGCCAGAAGAATTTCCACATGTGAGTGTCAGTAGGACTCATGGCTGTAGGAATCCCAGCAATTAACAGTGTAAGCATTCCACCAGTGGACTTTGTTGTGTGAGGAATACAGGAAAACTTAAGGTTATAGGACACTAAATACACCTTTGTGACAGAAAGGTTATTGATTTTTGTAATAATACTTGCTTTAGAGCATGCTTGGAATAACAGATAAGAGCACTTCCAGTTAAAGGAGTTACTTGATCAAGTATCACTTTTTGGATTAGTGGGGTTTATACTTAAAGCTGGCCAGTCCTTTGTCTGGGAAATTTAGTGCGTAATTTTTTTATTTTCCTAGAAAACCAAAGTGGCACTGTAGGAGTTGTCTTTGTTTTATTGGAATATTAACCTAAGAGTTTCACAGAGAGGGTTGATACTTCTGCTGTTTGTTCAAATATGTAAAATGTGACATAGAAGTGTAATTGCCATCTAGGAAATAGGTATATGTTGTCTCATCTGTTAGTGCATGGCTTAAAATTTGGATGCAGTTGTAAAATTTACCAAAAGGAGTGAAAAATTCCAATGTAACCAAATTACCTGTATTTTCAACATCAGTGAAATAAACCCTACTTAATAGCAAGGATGGTATTTGATGTGTAGTGTGAGCAGCTGTAGTTAATGGGCATGGTAAGGGTACTGARCCTACATAGAATATTTTTTAATCARCTCTATAATGGATASCAGTAAAGGATGGATTTACCTGRTCTGTTACTCTGTTTTTCAAAGCTGTAATTTTAAAAAAAAGTCCTCTGAAGTCAGTATAGAAGCTCACGCTGAGACCGAGTTACGGACAGTGCTCCCCTTCCCTGTGAAACAGTTTCCCCATGCTCGTTGATGAACAGTTGTTTTTTCTTTCCTTGGCAGTGGTTTGAAATAGAAGTTGTTTGAAATAGGAGCTTGAAAACAAGGCTACATAATTTAATTTGTTATGAAAAGGCTTTTAGAGCACAGTTTGTGAGTTCAGAGTTCTGTAAATGTTCCTGTCACTTGTCTGGAATGTTAAGTATTGCAACGGTTACACATCGTTTGCATCGTAGCTACAGCTCTGAAGTTTTCTCCTAAGAAGGAGTAGAGGAACTGAGGTGTATAACGCCAGTTCTTACCCAAAGCTCTGGTCTTTCCTCCCTTCTGTTTGAAACAAAAGTAGGAATAGCAAATTTGGCTTGAAAACAGTGGATGGGTAATATTAAATACAGAATTCCTATTTTTGTAATTTCACAACTTGTAATGAAAAACTGTAAAGGCTCTTTAGGATTTTTAAGACAGAAAGTACTAGGAAGGTCTTTCCTCTCTAAACAACTCCCTGCAGCTGTTGTTGCAGGAGTGCAGCCCCGTGTGCTCCATCTGTATTGCACTGCAATGCACAGTTGTGCATTTTCCCCCCAGCACAAGAGCACAGCTGGTGCTGCTCACACTGGCACAGGGATCCAGCCCACCTGGAGCTCCAGCCCACCTGCAGCTGTGGGCAGATGCCTTAGGAAAAAACCCAAACCCAAAATCTTCCCTCCTACCCTGAGTGCTTTCCCACCCTGCAATTAGTTTTGGGTGGGAAACCAAAACCCCTCAGAGGGGTTTCTTAACTCTTTGTGCTCAGCTATTTAACATCCATTAGGAAATTTCTCTATCTTGTGCATGACCAGTCTCCCCATCCCCTTATACAATCTACATTACAAATACAGCTCACTTTTTAAAATTAGAATCTGGCTCTAAATTCATTTGCTGGTCCTTAGTTTTAGTACYGGAAGACATGATGAGCAGCCACTCCCAGTCTGCCTTCTCGATGCCATTCCAGATTTGATAGGCTTTTGTCATGTCCCCTGTAAGCTGTCTCACAGGAGCTATTATATACCTTTGAACTTATTTTTGCCCCTTGCTTGACCATTTTAAAATCTGTAAGAAAACTTGTTTTGAGGTTGAGAGAAGAACTGTGCATACCAATTGAAGTGTGGGTAGATAGGCAAAAAATTGATTTGGTGAGTGTGATATTTGTGTTTTATGGTCCATTGCCTATTCCTTTCTTTATTAATTCCTGTAATTGCTTTTTGTTTTTTTCGTTTTCCTTATTCCAAACACTGTACTGATAGGTTATTGAAGCTGTGAATCAGAACGCTGGTCTTGCTGAACAATATTGATACACAGAGAGCACATTTCTATTTGAAGCTGAGGTTACTTCTCCTCAAGATATAGATGTCWTTTTGTTCACTTATATTTAATTTTGCTTGCGGTTTTTATTGTCCAGTTAGTCTCRTAAGGGTCTTTGTGATTCCATGTACTCTCCTGTTATCCTGGGTATCTTAAATTACTCGCTGCCATCAGCAGACTTTCAAATCACTAAAACTGATGTCTTGATCTTGAGCAATAAAAGAAATGCAGTATGTGCTCTGGGCTTCTGGAATCCATTGGTTTGTATATCATGTTTTTGGCATTATTGAGCAAGAGACGTTGTAGAGTGCTTGTGCAGCTTGGAGGCTGAAAGTTATAAATGTAGAGAGCTGTGTCTCTTTTTGCTTATTTCATATTCTGGATATGAAGCTTTTTGGTGTCTGTTCTGTCTTGTCTGCAGAGACTCGGTAAAGTTCTGTATCTGTGTTTTACAGGGGGTTGAAGAGGYTGTATTTTATGATCTCTTCTGCCTTTTGGGGCTCTATAAGTGACCTGAAAACGTCATTGCCTAATTATTGGGCAAAGTTGTCAGCATAAATATATCAAAACCAAAGAATTTGCGCAAATAAAGAGTGAAAGTGTTCTGACTCCTCTGCTCTTAGATGTGARCAATTTCCTCTGTAACTTTGGTATTTGCTTATTCAAAAGTGCTYAGTATCCTCAGATTTGAGGGATCASTTTTTCAGTTTTTCTGGGTCTCTTAAAATAGTTCTGAGATTATTTATAATTTTCTTGATAATTCTCAGTTTTTAGTGGAGTAATGCCCCTTGATACCTTTATTTTCAAGTAAGGGCAAAAAATATTTTTRTTGTTTAACCMTCTRTTGTCTTCTAGGCATAGGAAACTATATTTTGTTCTCTTGTAACTGAGCTTTACTTTCGAGACAATAATATTAGCATAAACACAAATATTAAATARTGGATGAGATTAAAATAATCACAGTAAGAAATCATAGCCTCCCTGCCCTGCTTTAGTGCTCAGGGTTCTGAAGAGTAGCACTGAAAGCATTGCATGTTGGCTGGGTGGATGTATCATATCAGTTTACAGTCAGGAGCAGAGCCATGCTATTGGGCAAAACAGTTTTAAATTATTATTTATGCAGTTGTATTTGCAGCTGGTATAAAGTGCAGGACTGGTTCCACATGCCTCCACAGAGCAGGGAGAGCACACTCCTGAGCAAGGTTCTCCAGTTTCCTGGACTATGTGTGCTGTGGAAAGAGAGACGTCTGGGAAAGGATACAGGTTAGAGTGAATAGTTACATTTTCRTTTAGGAATGCAGTCTTTCTATCTGATATTTTGGGATTGTTTTGGCTTTTTTCCATTTTGGTCAATTGATACTGTTTGTGCTATCATTAATCAAATGTTTTCCAGTAATTTCTTATGCCTGTTGATGAGTATTTTCTTTAGTAGTGGCTTTTTTTTTTCATATTTTTTTTTTAAGGAGAGAGGAAGTGTGTATAAAGGGAAAGGAAGTCTTCAGTAATTCCTTCTTTCTCCCTAGGGCAAAATATAAACTACAGTTTTATATGCAGTATTTTCTTTTTAAAACAATAGTGAAATAATGTTTTCATTCTCATTTGAATTGTTAGGGCTGTATGTTACTCTTCAGAAAGCTTCCTTTGGCTAGAGAGTGGTTTRTTTGTTATTTCAAAATTTATTGTTAAATTTTCTTGTTGGGCAGAGACAAGACTGTTGTTGATTCCTAATAGTGTTTCCTCCTAAGGAATGTGGTGGTGTTCTTCAGAAGCACAAAGATAGTCTTCATCTGCCATATCTGCCTTTTGAGAAACTGGATGAAGTAAGGATTTTTCTACTTCCAGTCCAACAATATTGATGTCTTCTGTTTTCAATGCTGGAACTCCATCTTCTTTTTCCTTCCTGGAGAAGGCAGGAGGGGAGAAATTGGCACAGAGAGACAATAAATTCACTTTAGGAGTCTTAGTGAGCAGCTGCTTTTAAAACCTCTAATGCTAATTGATGTCTTGTTCTTATTTTGTGTGACCCATTTGAATATTTTTCTCTGTTTTTAAATTATAATGACATAAACATCTTTCAGTAGGAAAGTAACTACTAGATTTTAGTTTCTCTGGAATTAAGACAYGAACAGTAGTACCTAACCCTTCTTATCCTCGATGTATCTCTGAAATTTCTGGAAAAAGGGTTTTACCTTTGAGTTTTCAATTTTTGAGAATCAAAAATTTGGTTTGAGTGTCAGATTTATGTATATTTTAAAGTAATGCTGTGGGGAAAAAAAGATTTTACTTAGCTTACATTGYTGAGTTTTGCTCGCTTCTGTCATTGTGCTGTGCAGTTACTGTCCTTGAAGCAAATACCGTGGCATGATTTCAGGAACTTCTCATGGATGAGAGGCATTTGAGTTCACAGTCTTGTCCCTGATGACCCCYGAGATATATTGATAGGAGTATAAAGGGTTTGTACTGCAAAAGCTAAYGTTAGCCTGCATTTCTTTCTGAGCCCGTCCATCCAGCGGGTTATGTTAGTGTCTTACTCACTGCAATAAACAGATCCAACTGTGTTTACTGTGCATGCAAAGCTCCTGTGTGCTGTGTCTGGCTTTGCAAGGTGTGTCAGGCCCGATGAATGTGCTCTGTGCATCTGATAAGTGTGCATTGCAAGTGCCCAGTGCTGGGTGTCTCCGGGCCAGCCAGAGTCACTGCTTTTTCTACATTGCCAGGCAAGGTTGTCAGGCTTTGCTCAAATGTATCAGTCATATCACTGCTGGTCYCCTAACACTCCTTAGAGCACTGCCTGCTCACTCTGTGAGCTGTCAAAAAATGGTGGTTCTGATTGACTGGATTTAGTACAAGTGTGTAGTTTTTCTTTGGGATAATTTTTAAATGCAGTTAGCTTTGCTACAAACTGCACACTGAAAATTCATTTGGTTATTCCTCAGGCATGATATGGGTAATTCATTTATTTCTGTAGAAAATCAATAGTAAAGATGCCAGTTTTGCTAAACAACTCTTATCCTCTTTGGTCTTTTCAGTTTTAGTTTTCAATTGAATAAGATCAAAAGCACAAGTAAGTGTTTGACTCATAAACATGAAAAASGCAAGAAATAGGAGTGTGGCAATTTAGTCCTACCAGTGTTACCATCTGCTTCTGGAATCTAATAGGCAGCTGTACCACTTAATATTATGTGTATAGCAAACATATTACCTTCATGGGGCTTTTCTGGTTTGGGTTTGGGGTTTTTTAGGAGTGTCTCATCTCAAATGATCTCTCAGTTATTTAGTCTTCTGTGAAGGCGTTCTCATTACTAGCTGTATGGCAGGACCAGTGCATTTTTGACATTGTGATGATGAAACTGCAACAGCAAACAAAGTTTTCTGTATCTATTCATGCCAGCTTTCAGAGCTAAAGGGATTTTGGAAGCTGTAAACAAATACTTTCAGTGTCTTAAAATGAAGCTTCCTGTTGCTTCTGTTAACAGYACTTAGGGATCTGAGGAGGCAAAACTCCTGGACTTTTACTGACTTTTATCAAAGTTAGATTTGAAATATRCTTGTGTGCAGCTGAGGCGGTGTTCAGAAGGAAGGGGTGTGTATACGGGTATGGTGTGAATTTTGTTAGCTGCAATTATTTAGTGCTTCTGATCACTGTGTTGTTATGTCAAATGTCTCATGCATGCAGTCATCAGTCTGCTTTTTGTGCCTTTGAAATGCTTCAATTTTTAAGAGATGGAAATGACTAGACTTGTTTCATGGTCCTAATCAGCTGCAAGGTACTGGGCTAAGATAAACCTGATCACTTACTTCCACCTGGACRTCTGTAAGACTGAAAATGGAGTGGAGATGTTGTCCTCGTAATCTTCCATCCCATGACATCTGACTCAGGGGTGATGAAGAAAACAGCTGCCAACTCTCATTCTTGCAGGAGGAGAAGATCCTGGTGTGTCGAGTCTTTCTGGTAGTCCGTGCTGCATTAGGGCTGTTCTGTGGCTGCTCTCTGTTAGTTTATGCTTCCTTGGTATTGGCAGTTGTTGTGATAACTGCAGTGTTCGGGTGTGCTGTGGCTGCTCCTAGTTTGGATAAAGTCAACTTTGTTTTCTGGACTTTCATCTGTGCTTGTGGGTGGAATGGCAGTGCTGGCAGAGTCTGGGGACAGCAGGCAGGACCAGGCTGCAGCAGTGTCCTCACTGTGGGCTGTGGAACCCAGCAAGCTACTCCTGGTTTCTTCTTGCAGACAATCCTCATACTCACACGACTCGTGTTAAATTTTGTAACATTYCATGTGTTTATTATTGTGATTTTTAATAATGTATAGTTTGAGGGAATCTGGATTTTTCAACTTCTTTGGATTTTTATAGKGTTTTTCTCTGCGACTCCATTTTTTTCTCAGCACTGCAGTTACAGAGCTGATGGTAGTCTTTTCTCAGGTTCAGTGTTGTTGGTAGTTAGGCTGTTGCCTGAATACTCCCACAGTGTTTTTCTTCCCACAGKCAAAAATAAAGGACATTGCTCCTTAATAAGCCTTTCTTTTTCTGGCTAACGAGTGAACTCAGCAACATGGGTCACTTATAAAATATCCTCGGTTCAATGCCATTTGTGAAACGAAAACTAAAAAAAAATAATTATAATTTGGAGTGGAGCTGTTGGAAGTGCTTAGTCCTTAGCAAAAATTCCTTTTAGAAAAAGGCAAAAACCATCSGTCAGTCACATGCATTTTGCTTGACTCTAATTTGTGGTCTTTGCTGCTCTTCTGGACTTAAGATCTTAAATAGAACATTATAAAAAAAAAAGCACTGCTTTTCATCTGTATTTTATATTTAAAGTCTCTTTCTTTCTGCTTGTAGATTTGTTTGTAAATGCATCATAAACAGACAGCCCAGAATGAAGAAAGCAAGCAGGAGTGTTGGCTCAGTGCCCAAAGTGCCTGGAGTAAATAAAACTCAAACAACTGAAAAAGCCAAACCAGAAAACGGCTCCTCAGTGTCTGCAGTAACAAAACTCTCCAAAACTGGGACATCGGCATCTCTTTTGAAGGTAATAACCAGAAGAATATTCTGATTATTTGTATTTTTTACAACAAAGCTTTAAAAAGAGTAGAATTTCCAGGCTTGTCTTTAATGCAGCTTAGACTAGAAGTTGCATAGGTAGCTGGAGGGAGTCTGGGTAGTYACAGGGCACTGGGCAGGGTGACAGGATCTTGTGTGTCATTTGTGCCGTATTTTTCATACTGCACGATGAGCTGGAGTGCAGTGTGCTGTGCAGGACTTGGCTGTTCTGCAAAAGGAGCAGAGTGGAAGCTGTGTTCTGACGAATGTTATATGCTTGAGTGGTGTCAGTGACTAATGGGATTTGATGAGAGTTATTTGCTAATTCTGAAAAAAAGAACTAATGAATTATCTAACATAAGAACTCTTTTACATCAGTGATCCATATCAGGTCAGTGCAGCTGAATTCYTCTGGCTGCTTTGGCCTTTGCTTTGTGTTAAAGTACTGCTTGAGCTGAATTTTCACAAGTTGGTTCTTGCTCCCAGAACAAGTTCAAAGGTAGAGGTTTTCTCTTACAGTAGCAAAACAAGGCACTATATGTAGGAGCATTTGGTTTCCAACAAACAATCACATACTGAGGTGTGCTGGTGTGGAGTTTTCACCTGGGAGCAGCCACATCTGAGTTGGATGGATGGTATGAGCCTGCCTGGTCTGCCTCCTTGTCCTGGCATGGAGACATGGCTGGATCCAGCTCCTTTTGCTCTCTGCAGCCCAGTGTGCAGTGCTGTGCTGCTGCTGCCCTGCAGCAAATGAACAGAGCAAGGAGCAGGGTGTCCAGCTGGGGCCTGAGCCACCATCACTGACACACGGGAAACCACACAGGCCATKTAAATAACTGGCAAATAAGGACCTAAAATTAAAGAAGTGTAAACATTGAGGTYTCTGTAATAGCTCTGTAGGATTACTGAAGTCAGAAGGTGTATTCCCTTTCTCTTCTTCCTTTTCTTCTAAGGAAGAATAGTTAATACTTTTGCTGATGARCTTGCAAGCCAGGTTTCAGTGAGGTTTTTTCCCAGTGCCCCTCCTTTCTTCCATCRCCCAATGCATCTTGCAGTTTTCTTAGCTTTAAATAATCTTTTGATGCTTGTTGACACTACTTACTTTATATTTCTAGAAACYTCTCAAAGCAACTAAAGTCCTTTGTAGTTTACTTATCAAGTTTCTTATGTCATACCTCTCAGGGAGATAAAGGAGGAGGATGATCTAACACTGAACAAATTTGACCCAGTTTGCTTTCACAATTTTACTTATATTAGTAACACTTCTGGCTATGTTTGGGTGTGGGATTAGAATTCATGACAACTTACATTTGAAGCCAAAGGGAAGTTTTCTCTTGATTTCTTAGGCTTATCTCAGGTTTATGTTACAGCCAGTCTTACTCATGCAGTTGGATGTCTTTTACTTGTTACGGTACTGTTGTGTCAGCTGTGTGCCTTAATGGTAGTGATGAACCTTATCTTCTTTGAGAGTTATAACTTTTATGAGTTATATAAGTTTATATATAAAGTTAGTTGATTGTGGGGTTTTTTTGTTTATTGGCACTGACAAATCACATTTATAATTACTGGCTTGAAAGAAGTATCAATAAAAGCTGTTTTTTTTTAAATAAGTTTTTGTATAATTTTATATTTGATATTGTTGATGCAACATTTGGCACATTGTTTTCCTCATAGTGGTTGTAGAATATTCACTCAGAGTGAATTAGTGTGTATTCTAAATTTCATTTAATATTCCATGACAAAAAAAAGGATGGCATTAAATAACTTTATTGCAACAGCTTATAGATTTATTCAGTCCTGTGAGTTGGMTATTGAGTGAAAGGCCCCTGTGAAAGAGTAGAAATACAGTACTATAACAATCTTGGTTCAGTCAGTAATAAGGTTGCAAAATTGAAAATTGTTTTGCAATTATAATATCCGTTCATGGTATAAGTGTAGGCCAGTGCTCACCTTTGGGTGAGTTTCTTTCACTGCAYTGTTCCATACATTTGTCCTTTGTTGTGGAGTTTTCAAAGTCCTGGAGCACAGGAAGAAGCTGTGAGACCCCACCCTTCAGTACAGCTGAGCMTGTCTCAGGGTTGATTTGTTCGGCTGCTTCCAAATGTCCTTGGTTGGTTCATTCTCTGTAGTTTTTGTCTCCCACTTTGCCCAGGACTGTTGTAAATGTTCAGCGCCCCACATACATTATTACAGCAGAAGTTTAACTGCCAGACATTTCTAGACATTTTTAATCTGTCAAAAAATACTATACAAATCATGTGTTCTTATTTTTAAGGTTTTTTTTTACTTCTTCAGCTAATGAGCTTGTGATCCTGCTAACACTCCCAACTGTAATTAGACAGCAGCTGTACTTCAGACGAATTGCAAAATCCACTGTCCCTGAAAGGCCAGGACTTGGAGACCAATATTTGAATATTAAAAACTAGAGTGTGTTTTCAGTATTCATGTGTCTAGGCTTCTATTCTGTTTGCAAAATGCAGTAACTTAATTACAGATTGTTGTGAAGTTTGATGTTTGAAAAACTCAAATGCAGCAACAGCAACCATCAAAGAAAATCCTAGGTAGGAATAATTATATATATATAAAGGGATTTGAATGAGATGCAGTAATAGGATGTACTTGTTGAGAAACTAAGATGAAATGAATTGTATAGGTCATTATTCAAGTTTCGTGGCACTGAAAGAAAGTTGTGAGAGGAAAACAGAATATGAATTGTGTAATTATAAATTGTTTTTTATACAGGGAAGCAAAATAGGTCTGGATGTGCATTTCTAATTATGATATTTTCAAATTTTTAATATTTTAACATRGGAGTTTTAATGTTAAGCAGGATGGCACAGTTCTCAGTAAATGGGAAAAAGCTTTTTAATAAACATACAACACTGCTTTTGCTTCAAATAAAAAGATATGCTACAAAAATACTTTGATTTTAAAAGTTTTGAATGGTTGCCGTCGTGGAGCATGAAGAAGAGAGCTGCTGGTTTGTAACTTTTCCAAGGCTTTGCTGAATAGCTGTCTTTGCCAAAGTATAATGTTACAGCTTTGAGAAACTGTTTACTAATTGGCTGCAGAGGAGGCAGTGCCTTCCAACCTAGACCAGAAATAGTTTATGGGTAAGTCAAAAGAAGAATGGCTGTCTTAAATTCCTTTGTTCAGCAAGGACTGGAGATGACTAATGTCTGAAAGTGTGTATTTTACTTAGTTTTTTTTTTTCTTCCAGCTGAGTCACATCTTGACCTATTTGGCTTGATARCATGTACTTGTACTATMMGTGTCTAAAAGCTTAATCTAATTTCCCCGTTCTTTCAGCAGGGTAAAAATGCTGACAGCTCATAGTCTGTTTGAACTGTCACGTTTGCAGGTGGGTGGGCAGATTCAGCAGCAAAGCAGAAAGTCACTGTTCCAGGCCTTTTTGTAGTACCTTGGTTTAGGTTGCATCTCATGTTGTTTCCCTCCCCCTTTACCCCCATGCCCACAAAATTAGTTTCAATTTGACACAAAATCTAATTAAATGACAGGTAAAYCAGGACTGTTTGTTGTACAGGAGTAGTTTATGCTCAGCCCATCCTCCCCACATGAACTGGGTGAGYTTCATTGGTTTTGTAGCCCTCCGACATTTTTGTTCTCCTATTTATATTTCCATTGCCTGTGCTGTTTGCACGGCTGTGTGACATGRCAGATCAAGGAGCTGCTCTGACTCCTGGGAGGAAGGAACCCACGGAAAGGCCTTGTTTGCACAGCAAACAACAGTGGCATTTTCATAGCAGAAAAGCCAGCTTTGTATGCACATCAGACTAGATCCTTGGAGTTAAGTGTTTKCTTCCAGCCTTGTATATATACGTTTTTAGAAGGCTACACCATTTCTGATATGATTCAATAAAAATATTCTCGTCCTACAGGATTTTACCCTTACAAATAGATGTTTCTGTCTGTAAATGTTTCTGTATTTCTATCAATTGCGTGTGGAGCAAATTCTCCTCACAGGCTCCCTTCTCTTCTGCAGCTGCTCTTTGTAAATGGCACAGATCCCATCCATGCTCTCTCCATGATGTTGTGATCAGTGTTCCTGGCTGTGTGCAATTGGCACTTGCAAAAAGAGACTGTAGAGAACAGAGTGACATGCAGCTATTTTTTTAATTAAGCAAGTGTATCTTTATTCCTAATGTAGAATTGKAGTCTCTTGCATATAGTTTTCAACATGAATATGTGTGGGAGCTGGAAGTTACAAACTTGCAGACGTGATGTAAAGCAACTGGTTAATTCCTAAGCACTACGTTTTAGCTGGGATGTTGGAAGAGAGTTCAAATGTGTTATCCAGCTGAATAATACAGTTGCTCAAAGAATGCTGCTAGCACAGCTGTTTCCTTTTAATTTTTTTTACCCATATAATGGGAAAAAAGTTCAGCATATTTTGATTGTTGCACCATTTGAAAAATTGCATTTKAAAGAGTATATAGTCTGCCAATTAATGCTAAAGAGCTTAGTGTTTCTCAAGTTTGCTTTATTCTGAAAGATGTATTCTCTGTTTGGGAGTCTGGTTATTGAGAATCCTGTGCTTGCTGCCTTGTCACATTCCAGGCAGCTTTTGTGGCTAACAGTAGTTTCAGGAACAATCATATGGGGTTAGACAAAAAGTCCATCAAACAAATACCTCATCTCTCAGAGTTCCTAGTAAAGAGCATGAAAGCAAAGCAAGGWTGTATGGTGAGGCTTGCTTTTCTCCCACCTCTGTCCTAGTTTCTAGCCATTTGTAGCTTAGTATTTTGAGCTAGAGATTGTGTTTTGTTGCTGTTGGATTGATTTTTGTTCTTTTTTGATTTGATCTTTTTGTTGTGAATTTGTCTGCAACAAAACATTTGCTGGTATTCAATTGGAGGATATTATACTAACTTCCTGSTATTTGGTGGTTTAATTATCTAAAAACTGCCTTCATTTTTATGCATAAGCAAACTTTCAGTTCAAAATTGGTAAGTTTTACACTATAATGCGTTACTGTGTTTTAATTAATTTTTTTTCTCCTTGGTATTGAAGCATTAAGTATTTTTGGGGGAGGAGAGAAGACTGTTTCAATGGTCACTCATATGTAAGGAGTTAAAGTTCCATTTCAGTTTACCAACTCTGCACACTGCAGTGCGCTTACACTTTTCAACATTCTTGCATAGACACATGACCAGTCAAGTATGTACTTTTTAAACTGAAGGAATCTTTAACAGAAGAAATGTTGGCTCTGCAGACTTGTGGACCAGCTGTCTTAAAGCTGCTCCTTCCCTTACTTTCAGACTAAGAGTAATGATGACCTCTTAGCGGGGATGGCTGGTGGYGGTGGAGTGACAATGACCAATGGTGTCAAGGCCAAGAAGAACACTTGTGTATCAACAGCATCTTCAGYTCCAGGGACAACCATGAACAGTCTGGAAAACAAACCCAAAACTATTGCAGGTAAATGGGTATATTGATTCTTAAAGATGGAAGCTGGGGGGCTTTTTATTTTTATTTTATGTATTGAGAACCCGCTGAAGTGCTCAGTACACCATGGCCAAATCACACACCCTCTGTAGTCTTTTCCTGTTTTTAATAATGTAATTGCTTTTTTGGAGGGTATTTCTTTTAATTTTTTCAGTATTGACTGTGCAACTATTATATAAAATGAAATAATACAATTAATTTAGAGAATCATAGATTTTTCCAAAATCATCTGTTTAAAAAAATCCATGACACAAGCAGTAAATCTCTAAGATGACTTGTTACAGTGAACATTTTGAACATTATGTCTYGCATTATAGAAATAAAGTMAGAGAGCTTTCAGAAGCTGTTCAGAAAAGTGAAATCATTTAGCATGTTATCTATATGGATTGTAATGGGTCTTACCTTCCATTGCTGTTTTGGATACAGTAATGCTCAGAAAGCTGTAAARTGTCTGGAAATAAGGCAGTAATAATTTATCCTCATTTTTATGCAATGAGATGAAAATACAGAAAACCGAAAATGCTGAAAATTGGTTTAATGTTTACTCTAAATGTTTTCTATGAAATGTATTTACTAGTGTCATTCAGAAAATCAACCCCTGTGTTGCTGGTACAACGTACACGGCCCTCTGTGACAGATACTGTATTTTAAATTCATGTTCCTAACTTTCAAAAAGCAGGTACCAGTTCCACAACCAAGCGTAGCACTTCATCTGGAAATAAAGAGTCAAGCTCTTCCAGAGAGAGAATCCGGGATCGCTCTCGTTTGAGCCAGAGCAAGAAGCTGCCTCTGGCGGGACAGGGCCCCAGTGACGCGGTGCTGGCAAAGCGCTCCCGCAGCCGCACCAATCCGGAGTCYGATATCCGGATGAGCAAGTCCAAGTCAGACAATCAGATCAGTGACAAAGCTGCACTGGAAGCAAAGGTGAACGATCTTCTGACGTTAGCAAAAACTAAAGATGTGGAAATCTTGCATCTGAGAAATGAGCTAAGGGACATGCGTGCTCAGCTGGGACTCAATGAAGATCAGCTTGAAGGGGATGAAAAATCTGAAGAGAAAGAAGCCATTGTTGTCCATCAGCCAACTGATGTAGAGTCTACACTGCTCCAGTTACAGGAACAAAACACTGCCATCCGAGAAGAGCTCAACCAGCTGAAGAATGAGAATCGAATGTTAAAAGACAGGCTAAATGCTCTGGGCTTTTCTTTGGAACAAAGGCTGGACAACTCTGAAAAGCTCTTTGGCTATCAGTCTTTGAGTCCAGAGATTACAGCTGGCAACCACAGCGATGGTGGGGGCACTCTGACATCTTCAGTGGAAGGTTCTGCTCCTGGATCAATGGAAGACTTGTTAAGTCAGGATGAAAACACTCTCATGGACAACCAACACAGTAATTCCATGGATAATTTAGACAGTGAGTGCAGTGAAGTTTATCAGCCACTGACATCAAGTGATGATGCCTTAGATGCTCCATCRTCTTCTGAATCTGAAGGAGTACCAAGTATAGAAAGATCTAGGAAGGGAAGCAGTGGCAATGCAAGTGAAGTATCCGTCGCTTGTCTGACAGAACGGATACATCAGATGGAAGAGAACCAGCACAGTACGGCTGAAGAGCTCCAAGCCACACTTCARGAGCTTGCAGATTTGCAACAAATAACACAAGAACTGAACAGCGAGAATGAAAGACTTGGAGAGGAAAAAGTAATCCTGATGGAGTCTTTGTGCCAGCAAAGTGACAAGTTGGAACACTTCAGCCGTCAGATCGAGTATTTCCGGTCCCTTTTGGATGAACACCATATTTCCTATGTAATTGATGAAGACATGAAGAGCGGGCGCTACATGGAGTTGGAGCAGCGTTACATGGACCTGGCAGAGAACGCTCGCTTTGAGCGGGAGCAGCTGCTGGGGGTTCAGCAGCACTTGAGCAACACTTTGAARATGGCAGAACAAGACAACAAGGAGGCCCAGGAAATGATAGGGGCATTAAAAGAACGGAATCATCACATGGAACGGATTATTGAGTCAGAGCAGAAAAGCAAAACAGCGCTGGCATCTACCTTAGAGGAGTACAAAGCCACAGTAGCCAGTGACCAGATTGAGATGAACAGACTGAAAGCTCAGCTAGAGCACGAAAAGCAGAAAGTGGCCGAGTTGTATTCTATACACAACTCTGGAGATAAATCAGATATACAAGATCTGCTGGAGAGTGTCAGGCTGGATAAGGAAAAAGCAGAGACCTTGGCCAGTGGTCTGCAAGAGGAGCTGGCACACACCCGCAATGACGCCAATCGCTTGCAAGATGCCATTGCTAAGGTAGTGCTTAAAACACTGTTGCATTCTAACATCCCATGTACACAATGACTTGTTATTGGCCACTGTAGTTCTTTTAGAAGTAAAGGATTAATTATGGGGTTAATTGGATTGATTGCAGCAGTGTTAGGACTGATACCTTTCTCGTAACTTTTGTTATGAAAATGATGGCAGCATTTGAAAAAATTGTAGGGATACATTGAGCTACAGGGTAACTGTCATGTTACTTCTAAAAGTATTTAAACTCCACAACTTATTTCAATGGCCAAACTGAAACAGTATTTAAGATACTGTAAACAATATTTAAGATACTGTACTAATTTAGTACTTAAATTGCACACTTGGTGCATGACTTTATGTGCTGATTAGGTTTTTGGATCAAAACGTTTATTTACAGTTCTGTTTTGACCAAATATTTCTAATTTATGCAGTAGATATGTCTAGTAAAARCATTTACCCTAATTTAAAATAAACACAAGAATCACACGATTTGTTTAATAACTTTATGTATGCATTTAAAGGTATATCTTCCTGAAGAAAYGATTTATGCCGAATTTAATGTGTAAACTATATATTAGCTGCAAATCAACATGTTAGTCATGATCACAAGCCTGYTAGAATCAAACTTAATTTGGGGTGAAAAAAATAATAAAATAATTTTAATAATTAAAATTGGACAGTGCTATTAAATAAAAACCACTGAAACAGATGACTTAAAAGCAGGGTATTTTGTCTATTAAACTTGGTGCCTGCCTGCATTGACTCACCCTAAGCCACAACCTAATTTCTCCTGTTTTCTGGCATTTAGCTGTTTGGTTTATGTTCCTATGCCTCTGTTATTTATATTGCACTTTCATAAGGCAGGATAAAAAAGCCTCTTCCCCTGCTCCTGAAACGGGGAGGGCAACTACTTCTTCCCTTCCCTGTTTTCTTTTTTTCAATTTAATRCTCCTCTGAGAACTGCTTCAACTCACTAACACACCTCACACACGAATGTGAAACTTGCTACTTGGTTRCATCACACTGGTCCAGCAAGCACTAAAATTTATGCACAAGAGAGCAGGCTTTTTCTTTTTTGGCAAAAGAAATGAAGGGTAAAGAGTTTCCTCCACCACCACTGTAAATGTGGTAGTTACAAAACTAGAAGTATGTTTAATATTCAACCAAGATRTATTCTTCTTCAGGTTGAAGATGAATACCGAGTGTTCCAAGAAGAAGCCAAGAAACAAATTGARGATCTCAATGTGACTCTAGAAAAGCTCCGTACAGAACTAGATGAAAAAGAGACTGAGAGGAGTGACATGAAAGAAACTATCTTTGAGTTGGAGGATGAAGTAGAGCAGCATCGTGCTGTGAAGCTTCATGACAAYCTCATCATATCTGATTTGGAGAGTAAGTATTATGCATTTCTCTTGAGAGAAAGAATAATTTAAGAAAAGCTCAAGTAGAACACTGTATTATTGAATATATTTTTAATTGTCTTTTGGATGTCTGAATTCAAGTCAGACTAGGTTTTGCAGAATCCTTACACAATAGGGAAAGAAAAAAATCAAGTTTGTTTTGCTTTCCCAGACCCACTTAGTAGCTGGTGTGGGAATAAAACCCTGTGAATAGAGAACAAATATGAAATCTGCTAATACTGTTTTCAAATTGTTCTTTAAAGTAGAAAAACTGAAGTAGAAAACATGTTTACTATGTGCCTGTCTAGCTCTCTGTGCCTTATTTCCCTCTCTGATCTTGAAGAACTGCTCAGACATTCCTACCACAGGCTGGAATTCTGCAATTAGTCTCCATCTAAATAAGAACTTGGGCAACTCTAACCTGGCAAGCTGTATTTTCACAGTGCTACTTACAGAATTCAAATATCTGTTAGTCTTCCATGTTATTCAAAGATGAAACAAGATAGCAAAAAAAAAAAAAAAAAAAAAAAAAAAAAAAAAAAAAAAAAAACCAAAAAAAACCAAAGCATGATTCCTTATAACAACAAGGGAAATACTTAAAGAAAGGGCTTTACTTTGGTCTGCTATCAAGAAAAGTTAGTGTCTTAAGCAGGCTAAATTGTTTATTCAGGCTCAGTATTTTCAGACATGTGGTTGTGTTGTTTCCCTAAGCATCCCTTCTTTATCTTGAAGGGCAATCACTGCTTCTCTTTACAAAATTCTTTTAAGTTCTTATTCTGCAATTTTTCCCCTTTCCATGCGCTAAAAGACAGTCATTTTGTAACAGACTCAAAAAGTTTGAACACTTTTCTACTTGTTTTTCCATTAACTGAAATACATTCATTCAGAGAACACCACCATAGTCAAACAGATATTCAGGTATTTGCTGTAACAATACCTTATTATTAGGCAGCTCTGATTTTTACATGGTTCTGCTTTTGGGGGTACAAACCAGCTGTCAGATGTTTGATTTAAACTGGTAAAAATTCAGACAGACAAACCTCTGCCAGGGGAGAAATTCTCAACAAAAACTATAACAGTCTCTGTTATTCATTGCTCTTGAAATAGTTTGGAAAATTCAGTTGGACGAGCCGATGTCCTGAGGTGATCCTTTGGGGAAGCAAGCTGTGTTTTTAGTTCTATGCAGGAAGGAGGGTGGCATCTAGTGGCTGTGGGAGAGGATGGCACCCGAAGAATTGTGTATAAAGTGTATTTTTTCTGACTACTTTGAAACGCTGTTCATTGAGGGTTCATAATTAAATCTCGTACGGAGTTTTTCGTGGCAGCCTCTAAGTATTGACAGCATAGAACATCACGAAAAATCTGGGACTTAGAAGTCGTATATACAACATTTAAAAGATGGCATTCTAATAATTTTTATTAAATGGAAAATTATAACTTTAAGAATTTACCAGAACCAAACTTCACACTTAGGAGAAAGATGCCTTATAGATGAGGTGGTGAATGTTCATTCAATTTAATGATTAATCAACACAAATAGTAATGTAGGAATGAGAAACACCCCAAGCACTCGTACTTACAGCATGCTTTACTATGGACTTTTAAAACACCAAAAAGAGGCACAGTGAACCTAGAATGGAACATTTTTCAGCCATCTGGGTATTGAACTGTCACATTTGAGCTGTTARTATGTCTGCCTGCAGATCTGTTTGATGTGTGCAGTAGGATGCAAATTGCATTGATTAAAAMCACACGGCATGTCCCTGCCATCCATCCAGATGTGGTGAGAGCTGYAGTTGCTGCAGCTCAGCTCATTGCTGCTGGGATGAGGAGTTTTAAGCATAGTGCTTGTAGGGCCTGGAGGGGAAGCCTCATGAGGAGCAGCTGAGGGTGCTTGGTTTGTTGAGCCTGGAGCAGAGGAGGCTGAGGGGAGACCTCACTGTGATCTCCAGTCTCTGCTCTCTGTGACTGGTGACAGGACTYGGGGAAATGGCTGGAGCTAAGTCAGGGGGGTTTAGACTGGATACCTGGAGAWGGTTCCTCCCCCAGAGGGTGGCTGAGCGCTGGAAGAGGCTCCCCAGGACAGTGCTCATGGCCCCAAGATTGATAGAGCTCAAGGAGTGTTTGGACAACCCTCTCAGGCACAGGGTGGGATTGTTGGGGTGACCTGTGCAGGGCYRGGARTTGGACTGGATGATCCTGATAGGTCCCTTCCGACTCAGGATATTCTATGATTCTGTTGTATGTAAAAGGTCTAGGAAATATTAGAATAATCCATACATTTTATATCCTTCCTGCTGTGCTGAGCTGAAACAGGCAGTGGGGAAGGAAGGACAAGGCAGTGGGGAAGGCAGACATTGCACTAGATGGCGCGTTCCCTCTGGGTTTCACTTCTGACTCCCAAAAACTTTCAATAGTCAGGTAGCCCAGCTGTCACATTAGTCATCCTCAGTAACTAAGGGRGAAACAAAAACCTATTATTCTCCCATGCAGTTAATAAGAGTTTGTGGGGAATTTTTTTCCAGAAAACTTTGACTTCTGATGTGCAGAAAATGTGTCTTTTTAAGTTAGCTTTCCACTTGTCAGGGGTTTCTTCTGAAGCACAAAAATTTCTTATTCTCTTAGCACAGGGTGCATGTGCACGTAGGTCTCCTAGTCTGTAACTATTTAAGTCAGTAAAGTTTTAGGACAAGGGTAGGTGAGCTAGAAGGTGGATATATTTAATGTTCAGTGAATAGTTCTTTTATGGAGCTGACAGTGTTAGTTTTAATTCTGCTATATCTCATTTAAAAAGGATCTTGACAGCAGTTATGAAATGAAATGTTTGCATTGCCATATTTAGGCCTTTTGTAACATAGTGTTGGAAAAGTCAATAGGATGTTCATTTTATGTTAGTACTATTTTTTCTTTTCTTTTTTTTTTGGCTGATGGTGGACCCTAAAAATTCCGCTTTCTTACTGTATAGATGTATTGTCTCACATGGTGAGCTCAAAAGCGAGACTTATCTACAAATTGCTTGAACTTTGGTGTTTGTATCCAATGCCTCTCCCTTACAGAAGGAAGCTGTAGTTTTTAAATGACTCTGTTTGTGTCTGTGCTGAGATAGCCATATCTATGCTAAAGAATCAAAATGCTCTCCCAGTATAAGGCACACCATGTAACCAGTACAAAAACTGTGAGAGTGCCCACTGTGGATTTGCTTGTGTCAGGATTACTTGGTTCAGTGTCCCTTCCCCGGAATTGTCATGTCATTTTTCTGAAGGTACTGCWCGTCTGAATATTGTAAGTATTTTTCCCTTTTTTTTCACCAGAGACTATTGAAAGGAAAGAATTGAACATTGATACTAATTTTTATTTCATAGTGATAAATTCTAACTGCTAGTTAAAATTATTAAAAATTGCAGATGCAGAATATAATGATACCTTTTCTCTGGTAGCCTTACAAAATTCAGATTATATCTTAGTTTCTTGCTCCCACCCCCAGCCCTAGTTGTAATGGTTTTCTTTACCATTTGTAGTCTACATGTCCCGTAATTTAATTTTTCTGCCTTTTACGTAGAGGCAGGGCCTTGTCAAAGTGTGGTTTGTATCAATATAATTTTGTGAAATGTAGATCTAATTTGATCCTGCAGTAAAACACAAGCAGCTTGCTGATTTGCCATTTTTGATTATCCTATTCATTCATCACAAGATTATCCTTGTTCATTTATCCTAACCTGTAGTTACTTTTTCTTTTGTCTCAGTCTTTGTTGTCCATAATCCTTAAAAGGAGTAGACTGGATAATGGTAAAAGTACCTGTCTTACCAAACTGAAAATTCTGGCATGTGGAGGTGGAAAGGGTTTGTGCTTGTTAGAGAATAACATAGCGTTTGTGAGGATGCAGAAAGGAAGATGCCACATGGCAGCTTCAGTCTATTTTGACTACTTGAATTTTCAGGCTGTAGTTGGTGGAAGGGTGAAATCACTTGTATTAGTCTGAATTTCTCACTGCATATCAAATTCAGTTGCAATTTGGTGGAATTTTTTTTTAATGCTCTTGGTGGATTGAGGGAGGAGGGAGAACACTGTTTCCAACAATTGCTGTGAACTGCTCTGTATTGTTTATGGTACCTGCAGAATATTCAGACCATTGTGTTTTACTTCAAAGCATAAATACACTAAAATTTAATGGTGCGTTTCATAACTCACAGGAGCTCCAAACAATGGCACTACACAAGCTTTAACTGTGGGTGCATTTATGGTTTCTGGTTTGTGGTTATTTTTAGATAGCTTGCTTTTAGCAGTACTGCAAATTTTGTTTTTAAAAACATTTTTTCTTTGAACTGTTTTAGAAGTCAAAACGAACAGCGACTTGATTTGTTCCAAAATGTATTTAAAGGAAAAGGTGGGGGGAGCAAGTTTTATAACTTTGACCTAAAGCTGGCCTCTTAGTTCTGAATTTAGCTCAAGCAAGTTGTATATAAAGAGACAAGCTAAAAATTGGAGAGCTTTGCTAAAGTATCATGGTAGCATGAGATTTGAGTGGCCCACCCTGTAGGCTTATCTTCAAAGCTGAAAGATCAGCTGGGTGCAGCTTAAAATGGACAGTCTTACAAGGAGGAGATAAATGCAGAAGTGTCTGTCTAATTTTGATGTTCCAATTTTGCCAAGTCTGAAAGGTTATCRTGTTCTCAGGCCAACTGAGGTTTGTATGATTCTTGTAAAGAAATTAACTGTGACATAAAACATCCCTGTACTTGGGGCTGTTGAGGGAGCTTTTGTGTTTTGAACAGCCTAAATGTATTAGGCACATTGTGGAAAGAGCATTGCTATTACACAGGAAAAATATTTGTTTCCAGCAGGTGTTGGAATAATGAACTTGAACAAAAAAATGCATTTAAACAGTTGCTCCATCATTTTTACAGTTTTTACCGCCACATGATGTTATAGAAATAAAACATCCTAGAATCCAAGGATCAGTGAAGTTGCACACTAATTAGAAATTTATGCTGTATTCTTCTTCATTAGTTGTTTAGTTTTAAGAATGGAGTGATCAATCACRTTGTCCTTGTGTATTGAATAAAGTCACAAATGAATCCTAATTGCAGTAGCCAGTCTGTCAGACGCCACACAGGAGCTGGTGCTGATCGGGCTGTGAACCCTTTTGTGTGGCTGCCGACAGATTTAGGGGACCCATCTCTCTCATAACACGAGCTCACAGACTGTTTGGCCTTTTGCTGTAAATATAGTTTGCTTTGACCTCAAGCAGTAGCTTGACAGACAAGAATGTCAGATTCTTGGGGACAGGAGCTCAGTTTTATCCCTGTGGAAGGCAAGGCTGCCAGTGTTATGTCAGCTGCTTTGTGGCAGGAATTAAACTGTGAATCAAAAGCCTTTGTGTAGCTGCAGCTTATTTTTGAGGAGGGAAAACCCCAGACATCCGTGKTTTTAGGATCCTTTCATGTTAAATTACCTACCTTGTTTACTTTGTTATTGCCTTGTCATTTGAATATTGTGATTTGGGATTTGTTTAAGAATTGAGTTTGCTTATGCTGCTGCCCTTACCAGTCACAGAGGAGTATGTACTATTAACACCCTCTGGCAAATTATTCCTTCTCATATTCAGATGTCTTTGGTTATAAATGTGTATTCTCTGAGTAAGTCTTCAAAATTCTCAGTTACTGATTTTTAAGTAAATAAATCCCTGACTAAGATCTTACAGGGAATTTAACGTTCTTTACAGATACAGTTAAAAAACTTCAGGACCAAAAGCATGACATGGAAAGAGAGATAAAGAATCTTCACAGGAGACTTCGGGTAGGTAAAAACCTAAAAAGTCAATAAATTTTAAGCTTAGAATGTTGTCAGACCAGCATGTGAAATTGTGAAAAGATAATATGATTAAATGTAATGCCATTAAAATAATTATTTCTGAAAGACAGGCATCATGGGAATATATTTGCCAATCTACAGACACTAAACAGTGCTAAAAATTTCTCAGTGTCACAAAGATAGGGTGTTTGGCTTAGGAGAAAATGTTCATGTGTATTTTGACGTGGTGTTTAATATTAAATATTTCTCTCCTTCACTTTGAACATTTTATTTGTCTCCAGAAAAGAAATTAATGACTCTCAAAGTTTAGTTACTTCCAGCAAAATCTCTTCAATTCAACTTCTAAGTTACGTTGTGCCTAGCACTGGATGAGTGCCCCTGTCATTCCTGTAAATTGTTTCCTTTAACAGCATAGGAAAACCATGAATAATAAGGATAGCTTTTATTTTTAACTTCCAAMATGGTGCTTCCAGGAGGAGTCAGCAGAATGGCGTCAGTTCCAGGCAGACCTGCAGACTGCAGTGGTCATAGCCAATGATATCAAGTCGGAGGCCCAGGAAGAGATCGGGGACCTGAAGCGCAGGTTGCACGAAGCTCAGGAGAAAAATGAGAAGCTCACTAAGGAGCTGGAGGAGATCAAGTCACGCAAGTATGCAAATGACAGCAGGGGTGTATGGGCTCTTTTGCAGAGCAGGTGCAGTTTTGGAAATTCACTTTCTTAATTATTGAGACTCCAGAAGTTTGTAAATCCTCTCTCGCTGTGAGGATCCATATTTCAACAAGCTGCTTTATGCTGCTTTCAGTGGYCAAAATAGGTGCACTTACAACAGCAGTATTGGTTTCTTTATTGTATACTTAATCCACCCAGGGTTTTGCAAAACCAGGACTGAAGTGGAGGATTTTTCCAGTCTAACAGCCAAACGTGATTTCACTTCCCACAGTGTGAAAAAATTGCAGTGTTGGCTTTTCTGTACCATCATTAATATTTCTTATTAGCAGCCAAGGCTTTTGGTGTGGTTAAAAACACAGCTGGGTTTTTCACCTGAGAAGAAACCTTCATCTAGTTCTATACTGTTTTCTTTCCRCTGATAATTAGAGATGCTTTGTATGTAAAAATAAAAATAATCCAAATTGTGATGTATTAWGGCTTGAATTAGGTGCTCCAGTTATTTAGAAACTGAGTTATATGTCTTAAAGTCCTCAAATAGGAACATCTTGGACAGCAGCATTTGTATCCTGACTACATTGTCTCAAGGGATCAAATACATGTATAGCTTGCAGCAATTATGTTTGTGATGTGTATATAGTAAATGATTTTTTTTCCTACATGGATGGGAATTTTGTAGGATTTGCATTACATTTCACACCTACATTTCAGTAGGATAGGAGATAACACAGGCTGTGAAACTTGGGGAAAAGCTGATGCTGGCTGAATATGGAAGCCAGAAATGTATTTTTACCTCCTTAGTATTAATTTAAATTGTTTTCCATTTCTTCAGGTGAAAAAAAATTCCCTTAGATGATTATTTTCATGTGGAACAGTGAAATCCTTAATTTTTTCCATCCATGTGTGTGTGAGAGAGATAGGAGCAGGAATTAAGCCTTWTATCAAATATTTATTTGATAGACATTTTAACCAGATGCTAAGCTCTGTTGCTAACAAATAGTAAGAAATTACAATGATAATTTAGGCTGATAGTCTGTTTCTAAATTACAGTGGAAAGAAAATTAGATTAATGTAATGACCAATTTGGMCCATAGATTTTAATTCGACATCAATTTTGTGTTGATTTTTWAAAGATTTTGCATGTTAAAATGYTTTTAAAATACCCTAAATGAKCTGCCCATTGACTTCAGGCAGGAGGAAGAACGTGGCCGAGTGTACAATTACATGAATGCAGTAGAGAGAGATTTGGCAGCTCTGAGACAAGGAATGGGCCTGAGCCGCAGATCCTCCACCTCCTCAGAGCCAACTCCCACTGTGAAAACGCTCATCAAGTCCTTCGACAGTGCCTCCTCCCAAGGTGAGCTCCACCCCAGAGCCACAGCTGGACCAGGCTGCCCTCTCTGGGTGTTGATATGGCCACCTCTGATGGTTCAGCTAATTCAGAGGCAAGCAGTTTATCCTGTCATGGCCTAAAAGTGATGGCTGCCACAAACCAACCCAAACTGGATTGCAGCACAGATTGTTCACTGCAGTTAAGTGCAAGCATCCTTTTTTTGTCTTGTCTTTATTTTTTCCTTTGCTGTCGCATTGCCAATGACTCATATGCTGGATGCTTTGATTCAGTGCTCCTGTATATTAGAAATACATAAACACATATGACACACATAATTATAGCTGGAAGCACAGCTGATTTCAGCCCGATTATTAAAATGTGAACTTAATGTACCAAATTAAGCATTCTAAAAGCCATGTAATAGCAGAGCTGAGTTTATTTCTTTTAATAACTTACATTCTTTTAGCTCTAATGAAAGTCAAAAGATCCAGCCAGTGTCACCTATTGAAAGATACAGGGAATATTTTCTAAAATGAAAGGAGTCTCACTCTTGAGACAATGGACTTTACTATGATTCTGATTATGGGAACAAGTGTTGTTGTTCCCTAGCTGAGCAGATTAAGGAGTCCAAGTAATTGTTCTGAAATGTGAAACACTTGGGTTTCACCTTTAACTGYGTATGAGACCTTGTATGGATTAAGATATTTCCCTTGCCAGGGCTTTGGGTTTTGAATTTCATGTCGGATAAAGTCACTGTAAGTCTCTCATGTAACAAGTCTGAAGTAAGACTAAGGTAGCGGAGACTTAGAGTGCAGTACTGCACACAGCAAAGCTGCTTTTGATTGCTTAGAGCCGGAAAGTTTAAGATATAGGACTATCTCTRTTATTTGATGATTCTGTAAATGCTTCTATTCCCATGCTTGCTCTTTTTGTTCACACATATTTACAGTTTTTTACTTTTCTAGTGTTAATTTAGAAGGGGTTTTTTAGTGTGTTACTGGAGGAAGGTTCTTTCTTTCCATTGTTAGTTTAGTTAAGTGATAAATCCCCTCTCTCTTCTTTCGAATCTTATTTCAGGCTAATATCTGCATTCTACCTCAGCATTCATGTCTGATCATGCTGTTAAATAATCAGATGACTGATTCACCAATTTAGAATTTTYCTGTTTTCATACATTTCTAAACATTTTACTTGTTCAATCCCAAAATTTAAGGTATGTCATGTCTAGTTCTTGTGGACTTTGATTAGAAACTAGAAAGGAGAAGCAGGTGATATAGCTTATCTTTCTTGTTTTACTGGCAGAGCCAGGAGCCTGCTGCTATCTCTTTAATTATCTAGAGATCAGAGAACAGTAATGCCATAATTTACATCTGCCAAGGTAATAGTATCCTGCACCTTAGCCTTGTCCACCCCCAGCAAACTTATGCTTTTACCATGGATGATAGAAAGACAGAAAATGAAGGTAATTGCAGAGGAGTGAATGTGTAGGCATACTTTCAAATGACTTTTCAGTCAAATGGTAATTGAAATTCTGAAAGTGTGATCTGGTAAAACTAGTAATGTAAAGTACAAGGTGAGAGTTGGCTTTAGCAGTCTCSTGTTGCACTGCAGAGCAGTGTCATGCTCATGATGGCTTCCTTTCCATGTTCCTCCCAGTTCCAAGCCCTGCTGCTGCCGCAATTCCTCGCACTCCCCTGAGCCCAAGCCCCATGAAAACTCCCCCGGCTGCTGCTGTATCCCCAATGCAGGTGGGTGTTTTATGACTGCACTTAATCCTTCTCTGTGAAGAAGAATCTGTGTAACTACAGGTGATAACATACAAATATTRGCTGACTTGCTGGGGAAATAATGATAAAACATTGCCTTAAGTAATTTCTAAACTGTTCAGTCTAGCAAGAGAAGCACTTTGGAAATTTGGAAGCTCTTGTTAAATATTCCAAACATTGCTATTCCTGTGCTACTGAAAAGCATGAGAGGAAGACTTTACYGGCATGCCTTGGTTTTAGAGTTGCTGTTTGTCCATTCTTAGTCCTGTGCCTGGCAGGGTAACAGCAATAATCCCCTCTGGCAGTGGACWGAGATCTGTGCAGAGTCTGTCAGCAATCATCAGTGTAAATGTATCTTTCAATACATGCCTGATGAAGGAGTTTTGAAATAATTGTGAATTTATGATCTTTGTTCATTTTGTACTGACAGAGTTTGGCCAGTGGGTGATGGTGCTGTGTGTTTTGTGCTGTCCCTGCTGAAGCTTTGTCCTTTTGYTCAGCTGCTGCAGGAGCCTGGGTGAATTGAGATGGTATTGTCAGGACCCTGATGTTCAGCTTTGTAGATCRTTACTGGTTTTGTTATCTCACTTGCTGTGTGAAGTGAGATTTTAGCAGAAGCCAACAAGTTTAAGGATAGAGCAGATGGGACCAGATTCATAAAGAAAAATCAAAGAATATCCTTTGTGTTTTACTCCTTTAATATCAGTAATTCTCCTGTTGCCTTCAAGATGTTGCTACTCAGAAGTTCCAAGGCTTGATTTTTACTGTAGGTCAGCATAATGATTTGGTAAGAGATTCTCTCTGCCTGAACTGAGGGCTCTATATCCATATYAGTTTTTAGTCCTCAAGTGACAATACCTGGAACAGACTGACTCTTCTCCTGTGCTCAGACTAGTGCAGCTTTTATTCATTTAAGAGAGAATTTCATTAAACAAATAAATAGCCTTAAAGCCAAGAGAAAGAATTAAATGGTTTTTTGGGAGAGCTTCTGCTGCTTCTTGTGGTTCAGTCACTCTTGACAGCAGTTTTCTAAATYAGTTAAATGTGACAAGTTCGCTGACAGATGCTTTGTTCCTATTGATCTGTCTTTATATTTCTGTTTATTTCTGTGCTCTTGTAGGAGGAGGCAGACTTAATCTCATGTTCTAAAGGGCTGAACCAGATCTTTGGCATACAGAAGACTTTYTGGTGAAGCCTAAGGCTTATCTCTCTTTATTTACCTGTAAATTAACCATGAACCAAAGTAATCTCTTAGAATGCTGCAAAGCTGCTCAGGTTTACAGCTCTTGTTTGATGTTCTTGATCTGCCAGAATTACTTGAATTTTGTATTCAGCTTCTGGTATAGACCCAAGTCATTAGCAGCTGGGTACTCATTAGTGGCAAACATTGCCTGAAAAACAAAGGGAAGGGTGTGTAAATGAAAACAGCTTCTATTGTCTTTCTGAAGATAGGTGGTTTTCTTCAAAGTGCTTGTAATTATCGAGAAGGCAATTGGGTTTCATGACCTCAGTTATGTGAATTGCATTTAAACAATGTTTCCTGCTCAAGAGAGGAGTGAGTTTTCTTTGTTTTCCTATTGTTGCCTTATTTTCTACTGTTTTGCTCAATGTAATGTATATTTAAGCATTTTTTGTTTGTTTCTGCTCTCTCTTGCAATCGAAAAGCAGGATTTTAGTAAGTGCTCACAATTTGAGCCGACCTTTTAGCTTTCASCTTATAGAAGTCATCCATGGTATAAGGTCTTTGAGGAAAGGTGGATTTCTGTATGGATGTTGCAGTGTTTATTATCATTAATTTCAGTTGTTTTTAAATGCTATCACAAGGGAAATATTTACATGGGCATCTGCTGAGAAACTGGCATGATGTTGATACTTTGATAAGATAGATTGGTTGAAAAAAACATTGTCCAAGTACAGATGAATCAGCCGTGTGCTTTGTCTTTGGACTGTGTCTTGAATTTCCTCAGTCTTGAAGAGTTTTTGTTCGCTTGGTTTGTTTTCTTTACAGCTGTGTGTGTATGTATAATGAGATAGATTCTTGGATATATTTTGCAACTGGAAACAAACAAACAAAACCCTTTCTTGGCTTCAAGTCCAAGCCTGCAGYGGAACATAGCTGTGTTTTACTATGGCTCTTAGCAGTACTGCAGAACAATTTAGGAAGAGAGGTATGAAGAGAATGCTCYCCAGAATGTGAAAACAGCCCTGCTGGGTTAGCCCAAAGCTTAGCTGGTCTGGTATGCCACTGGGAGTGACCAAAGCAGATGCCTAGGGAGGAATATAAGGACAAGGGAATTTATCTGCTGCTTTCCCTGRGTACTTTCCTTTTCCTGGGGTGGGGAGATGCAGCAAAATGGCTCAGTTTGGTACAGTTTTTGTACCAGGAAAATGTTGATGGTTTTTTAAAGTAGGTGATCTAAGTGTGAAATACCARCTCTTGGGGGAAGCTGTTGTGGATATTTCTGTGCATGGCTCACAATCACCATCACTTTCACCTGCACATTTAAAGGTATAATCTTCGCAGTGCACATGCAGAACATTGGATATATGAAGTGATGAAAATCTTCATGCTGTACATCRGCAGTTGTTCTCTCCATTTGATTTCTAGCACAAAAGCATAACTCAAGTTTGACTCTAACTGATGAATAAGTAGCCCTGTAATCCTGCCTGTGCTATGGGATGCTGTAAAGTATGCACTGTTAGCTTGTTTTAWTCACAATTATGGATTTGTCTGTCTTGCCTACATAATTTGGCATGAGAAACATCTGACCTTTAGTATTTTATGAAGATAAGACTTATTTAACCTTCTCATCTAATCTTGGGCCAGTTGGAGACCTGAAAGAGTTTTCAGGATAAACACATTAGTGGACTGATTATGATTAAATATTGGAATCTATTAGAAAGGGCAGGGTGAATAAAGAATGAACTATAATTTGCAATAGGCTCTTTGAAATGATTAATTTAAAATAATTGTGGGCGATCCTCCATGAGTCTTCAGCAACTGAAYCTGAGTTTCAGTAACTATAAGGATAATTATTGCTTTGTACAGTTCACCGTGTGAGACTGAAATGCTTATTTTAGTCCTATTCAGTGCTTACTGAATTGTGTGCAAGTCTTAACATAGCTGTGATCATGTGCTTGCTAAAAGCCATATGTTGCTAAATATTTTACATAAAACTTGAAAACAAAATATTCAATTCCTAGCCATTTAGAGAATGAAAATTAAAGTGACCTTAGAAGGAAAAAAAATCGTTTTTTATTACATATTTGACAAATAATTARCAAAGTATCTCTCTCCATTTGTTCCCTGAGCATCTCAGTTAAATAGGTGGGAACAAAAGCTTTTGACTTTCTGAATAAATCCCATCTTTTCAGTAGTGTTTTTCTTAGCAAAGAGTGCTTTGGGTCACTGTACACACTGCACATTATCCCCACTTTCCAGGAAGGGACACAAAGCTGTAAAGGCTTATGTTAATAACACAAATCAAGCACTAAAACCTTGGCTTTATATAGGGRGGTTGTACTGGTTTAAATAAACATATCAAGTTTAACAGAACAGGTTTGTTCAAACAAAATATAAATGAAGGTGAAAATTAATACAAAAGCTGCAAGAGAATTCATAGCCTTAACTTTTAACATTGGTCTGAGTTACAGGTTTCAGTTTAAAGAAGTGTATGTTACAGAAACAAGGCATGGTCAGATTGGCAAAAGTAAAGGTTTTTAAAGAAGTAAAAATTTTCAAAAGTCCCTTTATTTTTCTAGTTCTTTTAAAATAGTAATAATGTCATATCTAAGTTTCTAAAGCTGGTTCTGCAATTCCACATTTGTTTTTTACCTTCCAGTTATGTTTGACACAAATATTTTTCCATTTCAGAGGCATTCCATAAGCGGGCCAATCTCAGCTTCAAAACCCCTTGCTACACTGACAGACAAAAGACCAAGCTATGCAGAAATCCCTGTTCAAGGTATTGATTCATTAAACTTTGTCTTTAGCACTGCTGTTAATACTTCTTAAAAAAAATTATTTATCATCCAAAGCATTAGCATGTTACATATTTTTATTATCAAAATATCTTCATAGAACATCTCATRTTTGAGTCCTTTTTGCTTGTGTTTTATCACATGTGGTGGTGTAACATGAAGATGCTTTTTTTTAATTTTCAGCAGAACCACATTGCATGCTGATAACTTCACATTATTCTGACAATTTTTAGTGYGTGCATAAAAGTAGTCACTTGTAAAAATCAAGATAAGGTAATTTCAGGGACATGTCTTGCAGCTGTCCCAGATATTAAAAAAACCCACCTCTGGGGCTACATTATTTATTGGGTGGTTGCCGATTTTTTAAACCCCAAAGTGAAACAGGGAGGATGGTTGGCACTGCATTGCATGTGAATAATAAAATAAACTTATTAAGTATTGAATCTTCGGGAGCCAGATGAAAAATTGAATGGAATTGAGTGTTGATTTATCTATTTCCCAATATTCCCCTGTTCTGTGAACTTTGTTTTGTCTCTYAAAAGCACTGTTCACAATGTGCTCTTCCTGTGAGAATGAATGGCTATCATGTGTTGGGTGTAGCTCTCTGATTTATGCCTGCTTTAGGGGCTTTTTGTGTGTAGATGTTTCTCAAGATAATCCCCATATGACTCCAGGCTGAATATTTCCTCTCAATTTGGTATTCCTGAGGTCTAAAGTTTTCTAAAGGGTTGTTGTTTTTTTTTTTTTGGTAGCACTTCATAATAGTCTCTATGTGCCAGATTTCCTTCTTGCTTTTGTTGAATCCATATTGAGGCTATTTGTACAATGCAGCTGCAGGTTTAATTTTAGAAACTTTGATATTTTTAGGAATATTGAAATGCCTTTCCAAGAAGATAATTCAGGATTCTTTAATTGTTACAGAGTTCATGGGTAGACATAAGCTTAAACACAAAATGAGTGGTATGTTTTACATGGCTTTTGTGTTTTCCTTAGAGTCAGTGAGTGCAGGAGSAGCAGGATTGTGTTCCARTAATGAGGGTGCCAGACAGAATTCCTGTTTACAGCCATTCAGATATATTTTTAATCTATCTCTGTAGCAATGTATGTTCCTCATGTCATATTTTCAACTAATAAATGGGGTTTCACTTTTCTTAATCCTTGTTTCTCTGAGGTTTTATATTCAAATTACTGTCTTCTAAGTGTTCCCAYGTAGGAGTATGTAAACCTTTTGTTTGCTGTTTTTACTTGAAGGGACATTTCGTAATAGGAAATAGCTTTGATTTGTTGCTACAAAAATTTAATTTTGTTGTAGTTGTTTTTTACTCACTGGTGTTACACAGCTATCTTGCAATACAATATGTAAAAAGGCACCTCTTAGACTCCTTCACGGAGGAGGAAAAGAAAAAATATGTGGTTTTATTTAATAAAATTAAAAACCCCCAAAACCTAGAGTACAAAAAAATGCCAATCCTATAAACCAGAGGGAAGGAAAAAAGAAATCCCCTGAGGGACAAAACAATCTGCTTTACCAATAAACATTGAGAAGGGCATATTGAATATTTTTGTCTGTGTGCTGAATGGGGGTTCCTTTCTCAGCCTTTTGGTTTAAGGATATTTTTGGATGACCAAGGCAAGTGGATTAACAAGAAGCTTTAGGGAAAAAAGATTAAGGTGGTCATGCTGTATTCATAGTGCACTTCATTGGGAATGAGCAATTGCAGGCCTTCTCCATCTTACAGATAAAATCAATTGTTTTCCCTGTAATAGCCAAGCTCCGGCACTTGTGGACAATATTCATGACTCAGCCCTATATGTCATACATTTGACTGGAATCTTCAGTGRTGATGATCTCCCTTTTTCCTTTGTCCAGAACATTTGTTGAGAACATCCTCTACCAGCCGGCCAGCCTCTTTGCCAAGAGTCCCTGCTATGGAAAGTGCCAAATCTATTTCAGGTAATACCATGTTTTTTAGGTGATCAATGAAATTAGGAACTCTTGAGTTCAGCCATGTACATGTCTATTTTGTCACTGGCATAACCTACAAATATTCTTCTTACTGCTGCACATTTTRTGTTAACTTTGGATTTAAAAAAAGTAGACTTGCTAATACTTGCTAAAAGTTATGCAGAGTGGTAATTTACTATCAAGCTGCATATACTGATATCTCAGTAGCAGCAGGGCTTCTAAAACCAAATCTTTACTAGTTATAGCACAAATAGAGTGATACTGTGAAAATGATACCTTGTATGACCTAGGCAGAATTGATTTGAGATGAATGTTTTTTAAAAAAACCTATATTGAAGTAAATGCTTACAAGTTTTAGATAGTTCTTACTTGTCTTGAAAGAAGAAACTTCTTGCATCTGGTATTTATAAATTAATATWCTTGCCCCCAGATCAATAGAAAATAAGTCTCTGATATATGTGGAGAGTTGAATCTTTGATTTGCACAAACATAAACAATGGTCACTATTTAGGTATAAAGGCAAACCTTGTACTTTGAACTGGAATTTCTTCCATGTAGAGAACATGTAACAATTCCAAATTTGGTTTTACAGAGTACAATGCTTGTGCTTTCATTTGAAAGAAAAATCATTTCCTTTGATAAAATGAAGCAAGCTCTGTGGAATGTGGCTGACTGGTCTCAAGTCAACATTTGAAATACTTGTTGTTGATATTTAATTAATGTCCAGAGCATCACATACCAATTCTTCATTAAAATTAAATGGAAATTAAACGGCTGTYATCTCTAAACTGATTTGGTTTTYTTTTTCCTTAACTACTTGAAGCTTTGCAGTCTACATGGACTAGAGGAAAATAAACACTTTGATGTTAAAGTTCCTTCTCATTCATCAAATCTTTCAAATGAAAGTAATGATATTCTGTTAAGATACATTGATCAAATTTTCTTTCAAAATACAGGCTTGATCATTAATGTAGCTAATGCAGTCTAAGTCCTTCATATTTCTGAAGTGGAAAGTATCAAGAAGAACGTTGAAACCTAGTATTGGGTATAGGTTTCTATGCTTGGTTTGTGAATTAATGCCTGTCTGAGAGCAAATTTGAAAGTTTTATGTTTGCAAGTGATAAATGTGTGGGCATTTGCCCCCTCAGTGTCTCGAAGAAGCAGTGAAGAAATCAAGCGAGACATCAGCGCACCTGATGGAGCATCTCCAGCATCTCTCATGGCAATGGGTACCACCTCCCCACAGCTGTCCCTCTCATCWTCTCCTACAGCATCAGTCACCCCTACAACCAGAAGCAGAATAAGGTAAAAATCCCTTATTTGGATTAATTCCACAGCTATCTGTCTGCATATATCTAGTACATAGTATTGGTGCTGGCACTGCAGACCCCACAGAGGAATGATCTTCAGAAATCTCTAATCTCTCAGTATTTGTTTTAAAAGTTAGATTAAAAGTTAAGCTTTTTAAAGATTATGAGTTAATATCAAAACTTTATACTCCACTAGGAAAGCAAGCTAAGTTGTGTCACTAAATATTAATACCAGCTCAAAATACCATGAAGCCAAAATCAGAAAGTGAGTTTACAGCACATGGAGCAGATCATGCACACTGCCTTGGACTCAGGGAGACCATGATAAACCTTAACTGCTGTAATCCCTGTTGAAGATAAAAAGCAGCATGCCCARGTCTTAATCCCAGACATTGGCAAGTCTTCTTAATAGTCATGAGTGAATGGGCCTGGGTTTTTTTGTCCCACAGAGGGAATCATAGTGCAAGTCTGAGGAACAAATGGCCAGACAACCTCCTTTGATTAGTAAGATAAAAAGATAAGTCTGTGGTAAATTTAAAACTTTTCCTCTCTGTTGTGTTATCAGTCAGAGGACTTCAAAGTATTCAATCCTGATGTTATCCAAGTGAAGTATGTCCTCAGCTCTGCTTCATAGATTGGGAAGCTGGCAGACAAAGATTAAATAACTCTGTCAAGACCATTTTTCAAAAAGCTTCCTGACAAAGCTTTTGTACAGCAGAAATATTAAACCCTTAATGTTCAGAGACACTTGCCATATGTATAAAATTCTGAGGTATTCACAGCTATGAGTGCTCTTGAAAGTGATTTCCCTGAAATCAGCTGAGACAGGGCTCAGTGCTGCCCTCCTTTCATTGCACAGGAATTAAACTGGGTTTAATTGTGAGTACTTTACTAGCAGTAATTATTGTGTGTATTAGTACCTAAATTTAAACTGAGTAYATCCAGAAATAAGTTTTAAAAAGAGACCAAAACACTGTGTATGAACTTTGATCTGGTAACATTGAGTKGTATTGGTGTCAGCCTGCAGACTGTAGCAAACAGTGTGGCATTCCAGAGTGGGACTGTACAGTTGTAATTATGAAGTCATTACTGTGCTGCCCAACCAGTGCCTGCTATGTTCAGTACTAAAAAAGGCTTAATGGAGTGTGCAGCAGTGGGTGTGTGGGATGAGTGTGGCCTTTGGAGCCACCCTCAGAGTGTCGCTGCTGGAGTTCAGTTTGCTGTTTCACARTCAGGTTTCTCTGTTTTCCCTACCTATTTCTGAAAGTTGTTGTAAGATAAACAGTTACTGCTGTAGTTCACTAAAACAAATACTTGCAGTTTACTGTTCCCTGTTCTAGTTGAGATTTCATTAGGGCTTTGATTTGRAATGCAGTTGACCCGATATGTGAACATGGAAGATTTGTATGACAAACCATTTTTCATTGTCTCCATACAACTTAATGCTAATTTATTTTCTTCAGCAGTGTTTTCATAACTGTGAGAACCTGATATAARCCATGTGCTCTTGTTGGAATTTGAGAACAGGCTGTACAGCTCCCTCATGGCTAAACAGTATGTTTAGCATGAGGAGAGAGGGAGATTSTTATTTGAGTTCTATTGTTGCCCCAGATCTCTGTCCTTAAGTTCTCATCRTGTTGCATAACCCTCATTATAGATTGAATATGCAATCCCATTGTTACTTGTTTCAATCACCAAAGGAAAAAATACATCAGTGTAAGTTGTTGATATTTGTACTGATCTGAGAACTGAAGTACAGAATTTCATGAAGCATCATTCTGGCTGTGTGGTGTCTATGAATATTAGGTACACTGATCTATTCAGATAATTTATTTCATATTTACAATACACAGTTACTGACTTCCTTGTCATGTTAAGTCAAGAAGAGCAGTTTGGTTTGAAGGCTCAGCATCAAAGATAGCAGATACTGTTTTGTGTCTGCTGTCCTGCTGTGCATATATTTTCATGGATATTTCATGTTATCTTTTTCTAAGTAACTTTGAGATCCTGCCCCTCCATATGTTGATGAAGACTGGCCAAGCAAATTGCAATCCATGTTTTAGGATTAGTGCCTTAAAGCATTTCCTTGTCTGTTGGGCCATATTCACTTTYGTGCATGGGCCAAGAGATGCAGATACATGGAACAGTCTCTGGTGTTCTGTTTGCAGCACACATGCAGGACAAATCCACATTCCATGGATGCTTTMTTTTCCCTTACTTAACAGGAGCTGGAGAATTCCTACCTGTAAATCTGCAGCAGGGAATCCACTGATGRTATTATGTATTTCCACATTCCATCCCTCTTTCCAGTCACCACAAGGGCTGTAAAGAACAAAGAGTTGAAGATTTGAGAGTGAATTTATACAATCCCTGTGTCTTTTTGGAAATATTCAGAAAGAGTAACTTAGGATTCAGCCTACATCTCTGTAAATGTTGTGACAATCTTGCTTACATCTGATAGGACTCTTYAAAAATGGCAGATGAGGATATCTTTGCAATTCACTGATAGCTATCTTATTTTAATTGTCCAAATGGAGATTATTAAAATTAAGAACAACTGCTGGCACACTTCACATGCAGTAACTAAGCTCCATAATGATGTAGTATTTGCTCTTTTTGTCAGACTGTTCATTATCTGTAGAAATACTGTATCATAGTATACTGTAACTAGGCCACTAAAGAAATACTAACTTCTGTAATATGGTTTTTCTAATCTACAAATTTATTTCTGTAGCCAGGGAAAGAGATACTTGTAATGTAAAATTCATGAAAAAATGGCCCACTTAGGTTGTTMTTTTCTTCCCCAATCTTTTCTTAAGGAAAAAATTACTTAAGATAGCTTGACAAACTGGAATTGAAATTAATTGACTGCTTTTATTGTGCTAATATATCAAATGGCAGATCAGCCTACATAGATCTCCCCCTTCTTTTTTGAGAACTCCAGGTCTCAGGCAAATGTTCTGTTAATAGCACTGTGCTGCTCATATGCAAACTTGTTGGTTCAAGGTGACATTTGTAATCAGCCATGAGATGCAAAAGAGATAGCATCAGTTTATTCTCTTTTTAAATACAAAATAAAGTCACTTGAGTTAGCTTAATGGTTCAGGTTGGAACTTACTATGTTGTGAGTTTAGTTTTTGGGACTCTTACAAATATCATTGAGGTGGAAAGACCTAGTAAAAAAAAACTTAAAGAAAAAAGGATAATTTGCTAATGAAGGACTTATGCCCATCTAACTCTCAGGTCTTTTGCAGTGTATTGTGGTTTTCAGTCAGAAGTGCTGTATCTCAATATGATGATAATTTGTCCTTTTATTTAAGATTTTATATATTTCTGTTGCATTAAAAGCTCCTGTGCTTTGTTCCTAGAGAAGAGAGGAAAGATCCCTTGTCTGCCCTAGCAAGAGAATATGGAGGATCCAAGAGAAATGCCTTGCTGAAGTGGTGCCAGAAGAAAACAGAGGGCTATCAGGTAAGTGCAGAGCTGGCTAACGCCGCGCTTCTGTGCTGCCAGGCAGTGGAGCCTGCCCGTGCACAGCCCAGGCTGCTCCACACCTGACTGCATGGACTCAGTGGCCCTGGCATGTCCTGTACTGTCCCYTTGGAACGTGTGCTCCGAGTCCTGCTCCAACACCAGCAGCTCCTCAGTCTCTTTGCTCCACACAGCACCAGATTTTCTTAAGGGGGCAGCTGCCTTCCCATTGACACACTCAAAATCAGCCTTTCACAGGTTGCACTTTTAAAACTGCAGCTGAAACTTTACCAACTTAAGGTTTAAMTTAATGTTTCCCAAATACAGCTAGAGTACTGTTTCTCAGATTTCAGAGATTTTTTTTTTTTAATAGGAATTTATCTTAGGGGATTTTTTTGATCCTAGTATGCACTCCCATTTAGCCTCTTAGGAACAGTTTGTTTTGTGAAAGTGGCATTGTCTTGCATTTTGAACTTGGCTTTCCACTGCAGTTGCAGATTTTATTTTTTTTGCTTGGTCCAAATGTTATCAGAAGCCAAAAGAGCTAACAAGACAACTGTCCAGAGTTCTCCTGATTACATTATTTTTTCAAAAGAACAGTGGCTTCAGCAAACTAAACCAGGATGTTAATAGTCTGACCATGATGTATTTGTTTGGTTAACTTGTATTGAAAGTGTTTGGAGTTCCCAACACAATCCTCAGTTTAAGAACTTTACTCTTTCCATGACTTGAGGCTCACAATGCAGGAGGAAGTTGAGAGGCACATAACAGGATGGTCGCCCATCCATAGGAAAAGTCCTCCTTAAGCACAATGGACAGGCTGTGATATAARCCCTCCCCCTCTTCCTGTGGCACGTCTGGTACGAAACTGTGCTATTTCTGAGGATAAGCAGCTTTGTGGAAAGAGCCTTTCTCCTTCCCCACATTTTAAAAAAAGGCAGGATGTTATATTTCTTTATAAATCCTCGAACTAAGTGCAAAAATATTTTCCCATATTGTCTTGAAATGAAAGATGAATTTGACAGCCTTGTTAATCTGGTTAGGAAAAGTGATAGGAATTATTCCAGACTTTTCATTCTGTAATTGTGTGCACATGCAAGAATATGCTTCTGGTTCTATAGATTGCTGCTTCTAATTCCTTGAGTTTTAYAAACACTGCTAAAAGGATAGGTTTTGAGACTTTGTGTATTTGCTTCAAAATCTGCAATAGTGACAAAATACAGAGTATCTGCAGAGCCACTGCATTGCCTTCATTGAAACTGTGAGATAGTATCAGGAGGTTATATTAAGTTAATTTTTGGAGAAGAATGCCTTTTGCTTTAGGCACACTCATTTTTCATTTCTTTGTTGTACAGAATTTGATTACTTTCATGATCCCCCAAAATTTAGTTCTGGTTGAACACCCTGTTGGTGGTGTTCTAATGTTTTAAACATACCCAGCACTGTATTCATTGTGAACAGAGCTTATCAGTGTTATCAATACCAGATAAGGATGTTTTTCTTTTTTGTTTTCAGTGAATCTCTGCTTCATTTTAATTTTATTTTAAAACTATGTGTATTCAAAACTGACAAACAGTAAACAAGCATCAGAGTAATGAACATCTCCCTTCCTCATTCAGTCCTGCTTAAGGTACTCACTCTTCTTCCTTCCCTGTCATGCAAATCTGGGCAGGGTATCCTCTTACCTCCTGCTGTTCCTGGTGTCTCACACTCTGCCACAGWTCCCTTCTATTCCCAGCATTTCCTATCATTAGAAATTCTACTTTTCCCCTGTGCCACTGTTGCTTTTGTTTGGTTTTCACCTGGGTGAGAGCCAGCACATGCTTTTCTCAGCTGCAGGTACAAGCTGGCTGCCCAACCCTCCTCTGTCTGTGAGCTGCTGCAGGAGCCTCACAAAACACGAATTCTAAATATCCCAGCCTTTTCCTCTAGRAACAGCAGTAGATCACTTTCTAACCAGCCACCAGTTTCTATACAGTTACTATTTCAGCCAATATTACCTGTAAGTATTGCAGACTAAAGGAAAGATACGTGCAAATTGAGTCTGTAACAAGTTCTAAAATGAACTGGAAGAGTGTAACCTTTATTTGGAAACAAGAAAAAGGGAAGGAAATAATAGAAGCCTTTTGTTTCAGAATAATTCCTTWGTTAATTTTGTMCTATTCATATTAAACTAYCAATACTTAAGTAAAACCCTGTAAWYCAGTATTAYTSARGTATGTCTTTGCCAGCAGAGAAAGAYGTTTCCTTCTTCATCCATTGCCAGCAGTAATGACTTTTTTGTCTTTTCTCCCTCTCACCTGGGGGTGATGTYTCACAGCTGTAGGTTTTTATGCATAAATACCTGTAAGGTATTTATAGAAATTTCTTTCAGCTGTTGGTGTTTCACAGGGAAGGTGGARCCTTGCACGCTGAGTTAAAGCTCCATTTCTGACAGAGAAATGTTTGCTTCTGGTATTGTTTTGCCTTTCATACCAGGAATTGTATTTTGGACTGAAGAGTGGAAAATAGCTAATAAATAGTAATCACACAAGTAGCSAGACACAAATCTTAATTTCTAAAAAGTTTTTGAAGGTGTACACAGTTCTAGGTGAGCTGCCAGTGGCTCAGCCTGTTGAACACCGAGTGTGGTGGAGTTGGTTTATCCTTATGATAGCAGGATATGATTGAATGTTGTTGCCTTCAAAGTCCAGCTGTAGCTCTTGAGCTGCTTCTTATTCCATGTATTGAAAATACTAAAGAACTAAAAAACAAACAAAAAAACCCCAAACAAACAAAAAAACCCCAAACACCAAAGTCTGTTCTGTTTCAAGGAGAGAAGGTTTTCTTTATTCACAAAATAGAGAATGTGGAGAATACAGCACTACAGAAATGTCTGGTTCAACTGGTATGGGTTTTTTGTCTGCTCAAGTAAAATGGAAGAAAAATAACTCCTGCACTCCTACCCCTTCTAGAAAATTGCTTGCAAGCTTTTGATTAGAAGTCTTAAGTACTTATTTCTGCTTCAGAAGCTTGAAACTTCATGAATGCTAAATAATTCAAATATGATAGTGTGGTGAAGCTCTTAATTTCAGTCCATTATGGTGGAATAAGCCCTGTTAAAAAACCCTGTAAGTTATTTCATTGTACACTTTTCTTGATTTATTCAAGCAAATTTGGAGGAGAATAAATGAATAGTTACCTTGAAAGGTAGTTGTTAATATTTAACTGTGGTTCCAAATGTTTTTTCAAGAGTACCTCAATAAAAAAATTAGATTGATGTAGCCATTGAAAAGAAATTGTTACTGGTGTAAAAACCTGTATGACCTCATCTCTTACTATATTGTAGCTTTTGATATGTTGTCTGAATGTTGTTTGCAAGTAGAATTTCTCATTGGAGCTTAGGTTTAGAGAATGGTGATCTGCAGAAGGTCAGTGCAGAACWAGCAGGAGCAGGTTCTCTATTAACTTCCATCCAGAGCCTGCTCTGTCTCAACACAATTGCACTCACTAAGGCATTGAGCTTTAGTATATTCCAGAACAAATCTCTAAGCCATGAAAGAGGAGGGCTGCTCTCAAGATAAGCGTTTAGATAAAAGAGGAGCAAATCACCTTTAGTTTYCAGATGAACAGGCACAAAATTCTTGACATTTCATCATGTGTTAGCTTTGCTCAGGATCTAACACTGCTTCAGAGTACAGAGCCAAGTGCTGCATTTTTCAGAGAAGAGAATCCTCCTGGCTCCTCTAAAATATGTGCAGTGTCATAAAACTGTCATAAATTCCAGATATCTTCAAAGCATAAAGTAATCCCATCCAGCTGTTATGGAGCATTTACCCTGGCTGGAGCACAGCTACTTTCATTTTGAGTACACAGCTAATAAAAGTCCCCAAAAGGATGTGAGCATGCATGTTTCATGTTAAAAGAGGACCAATAAACAGGATACACACATCCTTACCCATTCTTATCTCCWGCAGTATTTCAATTTATTTTCCATTTTGGCAGMATTCTGAGAGATAATTCACTTCCACAAGTCTGACACCAAAAAAAAGCAATTGTCACAAGATAGCAACAAGAATAGACTTAATTTTTTTTTAAGCTTTCTTTAAGCTTTCCACACTTCCTAGGTACAGTTAGTGTAGCATTGTAGTACCTGTCCTCTGTKTTATGCAATGCTGCTTTCTGTTGGAAAAACCACCTCTTTTTTACCTTCTGTACAGATCAAAACTACATGTCTTRCAAAAAATTTAATGCTATGCTCAATGCACCTTGAATGCACCTGGAAGCAATGCGTCCATTTGTGCTTGAGCAGTAAGTGTAGAATAACAAAACTAGCAGTAAAAGATGGTTCAAGTTGCTTTTTTTTWAAACCTATTCTTATCAACACTGAGCTAGCTCATATTCTACTCAAAGTAATGTATTGATTTTAAAAATGCACAAGAAAAGAACATGACTGTGCTTATGTAAGCCTGTGTTCAAATACTGACTCCAGGGTGTGCATTCTGTGCTGTCTGGTTGATTCATCAGAGTGGTCAGGATGCCAAAACACTTCTCTCTTTGGTTTAAGCAGATCCTTTAGCCAAAAATTGCCGAGTTAAGGAAGGACATGCTTCCTTTCTGTGTTTGGATTGGATTCTGATACAAGAGAAATGTCAACTTGTTAGACTTAATTATGACAAAATTTAGAATAAATTATGAAGCTGTCTGTACCTCTAAGTGTTTCAGACATTAATGTCTGAAGCTATTACTGGATGTTGTGAGAATGACTCCTTCTTTTATGGCTCTTTTATATGCCCAAASTGAAAAATAACATGTGTTTGGTATGGAAAGAAACATTAACAGTCAATGTTTAAGGGTGTCAATGGTCTATATTTGCCATTTACTGCCTTAACAGAAGCTGGGATTGAAGAGTCAGTCGTTGGGACTGCTCCTAAGTCTGTTCCAGAAATACTTCTATATTCTCACCTACTGCYAGAAGTAGATAGCCATGGCTTTATTCCATGATTTGAGTCAGTGAATCCTGATTCAATGGAGTGTGGAGAGCAGTTCTTTTGTAGTTTACCTTTGTAATCTTCTTTAATGGATACTCTTTTGTGTGTGTATGTATCTTTAAAAGCTTTTAAAGCATTTTACTGGTAATTTTCTGACATGGGAAGAAGCCTGCCAAGATTTGTACACTTAAACTTCAAATCTTGTTTTAAGGCTTTAATATATTATAGAACTTTAATRTATTATAGCACAGAATCATATTAATGGTTTTGCTTTCTCAACCCACTTATTTAATTAACTAATACCACAGAGACATAGACACATGTTTTTATTTTCTTCATGTCCTGACTCTTGAGACCCAAACTAASTTTGGAAATGAATATCTCTCCTTGTGCAGAGCCAGGGATAGACAAATTGCTGTGCAGGATGCTCCTCTGCTCGAGTTCTGATGWCCATAGTTCAGGGAGATTGAAGACAGCTGTGGATATGTCTGAAGAAGTGGTTAAAATAGCTTTGTTCTTAGTTGTAACTACAAGTTTGAAACTATGTTTGCTATGGTTGGGTTTTTTGATGTTTATGGGGTTTTTTAGTTGTGGAAGTTTTCTGTGGGGGATAAAAAAAAGTAAGGAATTACTGAGGTATAATAGTTAACATCTGTTTCTTGCTTTTAAAAAGAAATAGTGTTTTCACTGACTGTAAAAGACTCTCTRTTAGTTTAGGATTATTGCAGAAAGCAACAGGAGACAATTTTAAAATCAGCAGTAGACTGGTTAAAACCACTTTAAAATGGTGAATTTTAGAAAAGTCATAGGTTTGCAGAGATCTTAGATTGGTGTTATGCAGAGCCCAGTCTGTTAAGCAATCTAGAATGTTTCATGGGGAATACTGGTTTTAGTCTTTTTTTCTATGTGAGCACAAGGGAATGTTCATCTTGTGGTGAGTGCTCGTACTCTGCAGTGTCCAGTTCAATAGGGGCTTGAGTCATGCTTGAAAYGTTTCTTGCTGTGGATCTACCAGGTTGTTCTATTACCATCTATTTTTCACTTTATGTTTTTAATGTTCTTACATAAAGGTCTTACACATTTTTATCTCTGTTGTTTATTCCTGATTGGAAAGCATCTTCCACAAATCTTTTTATGACAATGGTCTGTTGCTTAACTTTTGTTGGAACTGCCTTTTTAAAAGACATTTATCCCAAATATTAGAGGTGGTTTCATTCCCATCCTATATATTAATAATAAATAAACAAGGGCTGGTAAATCCCCTTCAASTTCACCTGTCTCCAAAAGAGTTTACTCCTTATTTGACAATTTATCTGAAAGTATGTCCCTTAGCTGCTTTATTACTTTATTGTCTGCAATGTCTTGAAGAATAATTCTAGATTAGATTCCAGCAGAATTCTCTTAATAGAGCCAATTACTTAATAAAAGCAGTAACAAAGAAGAAATTATGTCAGAGATTTTAKGCTGATGTTCTGTTTACTATCAATTCTTTGAGAAATAAGAGCTTAATGCAAGATTGATTTCATTATAGTGACCAAGCTTTTTCAAAAAAACCACAAGTAGTTAAAAGCATTTAGGAAATAAAATTTGCTGTATTTAAATGTGCCAGTTATGTGCTCAAAGCCCTGCATGAAAAATTAAATTTTCAGTTTAAATGATGATCTGTCCCATTTCTAGATTTGCTTTTTACTGTCTGACCRATATTATACTTCTTTTAGTCTGAGAGGTAATAATAATTCATAATGCTTAAGGCAATTGGAAACAGAAACCAGTCCCTTTTAATTGTTTCCTTCCGTTGTATTTAATTCAGCTTCTCTGGATACATTAAAATTCTTGGATGATGGGTTTGTTTTCTGCTTGTTGTCTTAATARTAAAAGCTGGACCCTACAAGATGATTTAGAAAAATAGGGGATTCTGAGTTTGGTTTTGTTTGAGAACGAACCAGACTTGTAGGTGCACTTTAAGTGCCCCTTTTTTCCCCAGCATTAGTATTAAAAATTCAGCATTCTGTGGATACTTACTAATAGATTAAGTAAAGATTTTAGTTCATAAAATTGTAATGTTTAAGCGAATATTACTTTTTCTTGTTGTAATTTCACTGTGCCAGTGCCACTGTACATCTTTTTCCCCCCCTTCCCACATCACTTGRCCATCTCGGGGAAAGAGAGAGAACATTTCAGTCAAGAGGTGAAARCCAGGATTGAGCTTTTTCTCCCTCAATGGATTGCATAGCAAAGCAAACATGATCATTCACACCTGATTTTTATAGCCAGCTTGCCACACATAACTGTGACAAGAAAAATCCTTTCTCCCTACCTTTATCCATATTGACACAGATATGAGCTGAAGCCTTCCTGGTAACTGGGTAAGGGGAAAGAACTTTCCAAGAAGTAACTTCTGTAAATGGACACAAGTAGAAATCTATTTGCTTTAACAATCTGACATTTTCTCCTTTTTTTTTCTTAAAACCTCATACTGTGTGTTGCATATGTTTCCCTAATTTAAGTACCATTTAGAAAGCTTTAACCAGGCATTAATTTAAATCCAATTTCCTGTCTCTCTTGAAGAGGAGAAAAGAGCACTTTTTTTTTTTYT